TTAAATAAGACTGAATAGAACATTTTAAATATACATTTAATAAAGCCATTTTAGCTATAAGGAATGTTCTATTATTATTGCTTTTCTTTCCTTTTGCAGTGGCCGTTTAATTAACACCAAAAGTTAAAATAACTAGGAGTGGTTTTTTTCCCCTAAGAAACGAATCCAATTTTATCATGAATTATAATATGATTCTTCTTATTTGCTAGAATTCATCTATAAAACCAGGTATGCCTACAGATTAGTAGAGTCATTCTTAGACATTCCTTGATTACTCCAGTTTCCATGGGTTACTTGACTTTCATCTCTGAACTCGTAGTCTTTAAGCATCTAACATATAGTTTATCTATTTGTTTATTACTCACTGCAAAAGTACACGTGTAACATTACAGAAATACAGGAAAGAGTGATCAATCCCCATAATCCTGCCCTCTGGGATCACTACTGTTAATAGCTTTGTTGATCATACTCCAGACTGCCTGGGTACCATTTCCAGCTTTCCATTTAGCTGGCAGCCTTGAACAAGCTATTTGCCCTCATACTTCCTCGATTTCCTCATCTTGGTGTAATAGTACTGGCTTCCAGGGTTTTGTGAGGGTTTAATAAGAATATGTAAAGTATTCAGCATGTTTTTTGGGATATAGTAAATGCTAGTTTTGTACATATATGAGGATAGGCTAGATTATGTTGCAGTAACCAACAACAAAATCTCAGTACTTTAACACAACAATTTCTTTCTTTTTTTAAAAATATATTTTATTGATTTTTTACAGAGAGGAAGGGAGAAGGATAGAGAGTTAGAAACATCAATGAGAGAGAACCACTGATCAGCTGCGTCCTGCACATCCCCTACTGGGGATGTGCCCGCAACCAAGGTACATGCCCTTGACTGGAATTGAACCTGGACCCTCCAGTCCACAGGCTGACGCTCTATCCACTGAGCCAAACCGGTTAGGGCAACAATTTATTTCTTAATAAATTGGCAGAATGGTTTCTCCATGCAGTCACTCAGGGACCCAGGATACTGGAGGTCCACCATGCTGTGGTCATCATCTGCCATACATGGCTCCTCTGCTCATTTTAGGAGCAAAGAGAGACTATAAAATCACACATGGAGTTTTTATTGCTCCAGCCCATAATTATATGCCACTTTCAATCACAATTTATTGGCCATAACTAGTAACCAAAGCCCTGCCCAACAGAAAGTGAGCTGGGCAATGTGGAGTGTGGAGTTCAGACTATGTAGTGAGTACTTCTACCTCAATTGCAGTCTGCTTTCTCCCATCCAGCATGTATGATATTATCCAAACAGTGTTGCAGGGTTTTTTGTTTTTTGTTTTTTATCATGGATGTCTCCTCATATCAATACATATTTATTTATTCATTTACTATTTATTAAGCCCTTCTGGGTGTCAGGCATTAGTCTAGGTAGTGGATTATACCAATGAAAAAAGCATTTGATAGTCCTTCCCTTCATGTAGTTTATTGGATTGCAAACAGATAAGAAATGCAAATACTTTTAAAAAGTATAGAAAGTAAGAAATGTTATGGTGAGAAATAAGACAAAAGGTAGTCCTGGCTAGTGTGACTCAATTGGTTGGGTATCGCCCCATGTCCTAAAGGTTGCTGGTTCAGTTCCTGGTCAGGGCACATGCCCTGGTTATGTGTTATGGGCTCTATCCCCAGAAAGGGGCATGTAGGAGGCAGTCAATCAATGATTCTCTCTCATCATTGATGTTTCGCTCTCACATTGATGTTTCTCTCTCTCCCTCTCACTTTCTCTTGAAACATCTATTTTAAAACCTTTAAAAAGAGAAAAAGTAGAGGGAGTTTTAGGGGGTACAGTTTTAGGTCAAATGTTCATAGAAGACATCTGTGAGGTGATTTGAGTTCAATTCTGAAAACTGAGAAGAAGTGAGCTGTGTAAATACAGCTAGAGGAAGAGCATTCCAAGAAAATAAAACTGCCAGTGTGGTTTGGTGATATGTACATGAGGATGCATTCTCCTGTTTTTGTATCTGTTTAAAATTTTCCATGAAAAAAAATGTATAACAAAATGTAGCCCTGGTTATAAAACTTGTATCTAGATTTTATTTCTGCATTTTTTTTTTGGGGGGGGGAATCATGACAGAAAATTTAATAGATATTCTACATTTTCTAAAAAAAACGAGTAAAAAGGTTTTACTAATTTACCTCTTCAGAAACAATGTTTTAACATCCTCACTAACTCTGGCTTCTATACAATCTAGCCCTGATTACAGATTGCTGTTTATTACTGCATAATTGTGTTGTGTGTTAGTCTTCTCTTTCCAATTTTATTTTATTTCATTTTAAAATATACTTTTTATTGTTGATAGTATTACAGATACCTCCCCTTCCCCTTTTACCCTCATCCTCCTAGACCCTAACCCCCCCCCCGCCCCCCCCAGTATCTTCACTACCTTATTGTTCGTGTCCATGGGCTGTGCCTAGAAGCATATAAATTCTTTGGTTTATCTCTTCTCATCCCCCCAACCCTGAATCAAGGTATGTTAGTCTGCTCCATGCCTCCATGCTTTAGGTCTTATTTTGTTGGTCAATTCATTCTGCTCATTAGATTCTGTAAATAAGGGAGATCATATTATATTTGTCTTTCTCAAATTGGCTTATTTCACTTAGCATAATATTTTCCAGGTCCATCCATGCTGTCCCAAAGGGTAAGAGATCCCTCTTTTTCACAGCTGCATAGTATTCCTTAGTGTAAATGTACCACAGCTTTTTTATCCATTCATCTACTGATACGCACTTGGGCTGTTTCCAAATCTTAGCTATTGTAAATAATGCTGCTATGGACATAGGGGTGCATATATACTTTCTGATTGTTTTTTTGGGGGTTCTTAGAATACATTCCTAAAAGTGGGATCACTGGGTTAAATGAAAGTTCCATTTTTAATTTTTTGAGGAAACTCCATACTGTTTTCCACAGTAGTTGCAGCAGTCTGCATTCCCACCAGCAGTATGCTAGGGTTCCCTTTTCTCCACATCCTTGCCAGCATTTGTTGTTTGTTGATTTTTTGATGATAGCCACTCTGACAGGTGTATGGCAATATCTCATTGTGGTTTTAATTTGCATCTCTTTGATGATTAGTGACTTTGAGCTTTTTTTCATGTTTCTTGGCCATTTGTATGTCCTCTTTGGAGAAATGTCTATTCAGGTCATCTACCCATTTTTTAATTGGATTATTTGTCTTCCTTCTGTTGAGTTGTATGAGGACTTTATATATTGTTTCTGACTTTTTAAAATCCCCCTTTCTATCATTCCCTTTAAAGTGATTAGACATATAATAAATTCCCTATGAAAATTACAGATTGAGAAGTAAAACGTAAATCATTAAGTTTTATTAAATGTAACCTCAGTTATTATAGCATTTTACTGTGTTGAGAATGAAAAAAAAAATAAGCTGCACAAAATATTATACCCACCAGCAATTTAAAAGTTTTGAGCATTAGAGAGCTAGTTCAAAAATGTTTTAGGCTCCCCTCTTCCTCCCCTCTTCCCCCATAATTGGCCAGATGTGAGGTATATTTTGAATGGAGACTCTTCTTAGTCACATACTTATCATGATACTTCCACTAAAAATTTGTTCTTTCAGTGGTTTACTTTGTTCTTTCAGTGGTTCTGTTGCCATAGAACTAGGCTACATTGCACAAACATTTTGAGTCAGTTCTGTCAGTTTTTCCTTAAGATGACCGAGTCTTAATAATTAGATGATTGTGATTGAATTAAAAAAATGAAATCAGCCTTTTCCAGCCCAAAGAGTTTACTGGACTCTTTAAAAGTTATTTGGCTAGATTGTGAGGTCACACCCAGACACCAAAGAGAAATGTCACTAAAAGATCACTCACTTAGAACCACCCTACATCGAGGGGAAATGACAGGCTGACCAAGCATGAGGAAGACCCCTGTCACAGACAGATTTGTCAGTGTTAGTCACGCACTAGAACATAATGTTTAAAGGGAAATGCATGACACCGCTGGGAAGCTATGTTGGAAGAGCTGTGGCCAAAGAAAAGAGAATTACAAATGCAGGGAGAATTGTGCTTCCATGACACAAATAACTTGGAAGTCTGGTGCATAAAAAGTTTTGTTTTTATAATTTAGTTCACCTTAGTTAGGGTCGTTTTTATATAAGGCAAAAATCTCTCTTTTGATAACAGTGTCTTTATTTCAGGAAGGAAGGATTACTGCATTATGCTGACATTCAGTTGGAAACAGTTTTGGGTGTGGGATGATTCATTATCAGTACCAGACTGTCTAATCATAAGCCTTATCCAATCATAAATATTTTTAGGCCCTGGCCCGTGTCGCTCAGTGGTTAGAGCATTCGCCCACACACCAAAGGGTTGCAGGTTCAATTCCTGGTCAAGGGCATGTATCTGGGTTGCAGGTTCAATCCTTGGCTCTGGTTGGGGTATATGCGGGAGGCAGCCAATCAATGTGTCTCTCTCACATTGATGTTTCTCTCTCTCTTCCTTTCTCCTTCCCTTCCTCCAATTCTACTCTCTCTAAAAAAAAAAAAAAAAATCAATGCAAAAAATAAACCAATCCCAAGGATATTGCCTAGGCAGAATTATTTGAAAAGACCATGTAGAAGCTAGCAAGACTACCCACCCCCTAAAGTAAAAGGTCCGCACTTCCTCTCGCCCTCTCTCTTCTCCCTGGCAGCAATGGCTTCCTGACATTCCTTCCTGTGGTCGGGGAGTCCACCCCTGCGTCCATGTGGCCTCCACACCTGGACTATTAGACTTTAATTAGCTTGGACACTAAACTACTCCCCACTGTCACATGGAAAGGAGGCTCCAGACACTGGCCTGCACTTGGAACCCCAGCTACACCTTCTCCAGGACTGGTTTCTCCCAGTAAACTTTGGTTCCATTAATTGGGAGGGGTGGAGGGGTGAAAGGCCCCGGGTGGTTGGCAGAGGGTCCCCGCCTCCTGGTTGAACTCCGGGTCAAGGGGACAATTTGCATATTAGCCTTTTTATTAGATAGGGACTTGGGGAGGGGAGCTTCAGAGAGCAGGAGAGACAGCTGTGCTGCTTCAGTTTTAGCTAGGGCTCTTCCATTTCAGCCCCGGGAGCCAGCCGCTTGGAGACATCATTCCGTCCCAAAAATAAAGTCATGAATCCTCCTCAAGTCCCTGAGGAGACAAAAAGACACACACATTAGCAACTAGTGAGGACCTTCTGAGAACAGAGTTGAGCAGGAAGAGCTTTTAGCATGTGAACAAAGGCCTAATTAAGCATAGCTGCTCAGCCTGACCAGTGTGGCTCAGTGGTTGAGCAGCGGACTCTGAAGCAGGAGGTCACGGTTGGAGTCCCCGACAGGGCACATACCTGGTTTTCGAGCCCAATCCCTGGTGTGGGGCATGCAGGAGGCAGCAGGTCAATGAATCTCTCTCATTATGGATGTTTCCATCTCTCCCTCTCCCTCCCTCTCTAAAATCAATACAGATATATTTTAAAAAAATAGTTGCTCTTAATACTAGGGGCATTCACATCACAGGGGCTGGGCTACAGTTTGTTATTAAGGAAGCCCTAGCAACCGAATGCAGTCATTCTCTGTCTCCTCAGTCTTCTGATGGCCACACTCATACACATTCGTGAACACTTGTGTTCAGTTTAATAACAACATTTGGTTAATGTGGTGAGATGGGAGGACCGAGGAAGGGGGGAGCACCTTTGCTCGGGGACAGGGAGGCGCTGAGGGGTGGCTGCTGCAGACTATGATAATTTCTACGCACATTCTTCCAATACGTGAAGTGCCATCCCCCGTTGTACACAAAGTTATCCCAACAGTATTCAAAGTCTGCAGTGAAGAGGGGAGAAAGCAGGCAGGTCTGGCCTAGGAGCCTTTCTCTCCTGAGCCTCCCCTGGGCAACCCCACTCAGGGCCCAGTTTCCTCCTTGTCAGGTGTCTTCACTCTGCCTCAGTTTCCCAAGTTCCCCTGCCACTCACTGTCCCTGGGTGCCTCTACCTGCCCCCGCCCCCCCACACACACACACACATTCCTGCCCCAGTTCCCTCTGCTCTCACCCTCTGGAGCCATCATGGCCACCTTGACCCCTGCAGCAACCAGATCTCGAAGCCCCTGCTCATCTTCATCCTCACACAAGTAGAGGCGGGCGGCATAGATGCTCAGGTACACATTCTCGTTCTCTTTCAGGAAGTGAGCCACCTGCTCTGCACACTCGAAGCAGGGGCTCCAGGATACGTACCAAGTGACACGGTATTGCACATCAGGACACCGAATCTCATCAGGAAACAGAACCTTCTCACGGAGCCAATCCAGGAAGCAGAGTTCTGCATGGCCAGGATACAACTGGGAGAGACGGAGAGAAAGTGGCTGGGGAGCGGGGGACCCTTGTAACAAAGCAGGCATGTGACAGAGCAGGCATGTGACAAAGCAGGCATGTGACAGGACTGGGGGATGGGCGCCAGGGGACAGGGAGCAGTAGTCTCAAAGTCATGTTGTTGATTGATTTATCCCCTTTTTATTTTTTAAAAAATACGTTTTTATTGATTTTTATTTTTTATTTTATTTATTTTAAAATATATTTTATTGATTTTTTTGCAGAGAGGTAGGGAGAGGGATAGAGAGTTAGAAACATCGATGAGAGAGAAACATCGATTAGCTGCCTCCTGCACACCCCCTGCT